ACAAATAAGTACACTGAGGAATAAAAGGAAGTGTATCGCAGTCAACTCCAGAGGGATGCCAAGCAACAATGTAATGATAAAATTTGCCGTAGTAATGGTTTGGGTCCATACAAACTACCATTAAAATATGGAGTAATAATCTTGATATGCTAATGTTACAACTTTTTTCATTCCCAGACTTTTTTCCCAGCTACTGTGTTTAAGTGTCTATTCATTTAAATTAGTCAAAGGCTAATTGTCTGATACCTCAGCTAACACTACTAGCCTAGTCACAGCATAGTTTACTTCACCTCATACATTTTAGCTTGAAAGCAGCCAGTTTGTGAAGATTTACTTAGCTGATACCAAACAGGATAAACCCACTAAATAGTGTTCAAAGTTTTTTTGGATTAATTCTATATGAGTAAAGTATAAAATGAGCTTCAGCCCAATGCGCCCAAATGAAACTGCCTTTATGATCTTAATTTTGTTCTGATGTTTGATCTGGTATCTAGGTAGATCCAAATGCTTGTCAGCTCTATAAATGCATTTAGTAAGTCCATTTGCTCATTCTGGAACTGTTACTACCAAAAAACTCACCTTTTTAAACAAACAAGCAAATAAATAAATAAATAAACGAAGGTTTATCCGTAACCCATAATTCAACCAATACCTTCAGTAAGTACTATGTTTTCAGACTTCACCACTCCAAGGCTTCACAAGCTGGATCAAAAACAGCACAAGCCAGCTGCACTATTATTCAACCCTAACCAGTCCATTTAACTCATGAGAAGGAAATCCATCATTCCTGAATTTCAAAAAGGGAGAATTTGAAACGCGTAATTTAATAAACTAACAGCCCAACGTACGAAAAAGTATTGTAAACATAATTGCTTTATGATGGTTTGGACTGAAGGAATAAGATCAGAACAATTCCCGGAAACCTTTTCTGTACGTCATTGTAGCCAGACTTTGTTCTAATTCACTAGTCCAAAAATGTGTGTGTGAAAATGTCCAAAAGTATCCAAACCCTTCAGATCAGTGAATTCAGTTCATTTAAAGTGCATCCAATGAAAGAATGAATAAATTACACACACACTGCTGGTATAATCTCCATAGAAAAGCATTGTCAGTAGAGCAGCTGCATCATGCTCAATCCCAAGCGTCAGCTAGAGCACTGGACTATGGAGCAGCGCAGTGGAACTGTGTACTTTGGAATTGGGTGGAGCTCCATCAAGTACCTGACCTCACTAATGCTCTTGTGGCTGCGATCAAATCCTTACAGCAATGTTCCAACATCTAGTGCAAAGCCTTCCCAGAAGAGAAGAGGCTGCTAGCAAAGAGGAGACGGATTCCTTATTACCCTTGATTTCAGTGTAAATGAATAGACATATGCTGCAACAGATAGTCATGTATTGTTGACGGCATTGTGTGAAGGCGCTTTCTGCTTAAGAGGCCTTGTTGACCTGCTGATAAACTGTTCCTGGATGGGAACAAAGCAGGGATTTCCCATAACACCCAGGGGCCCTGAGCCAGGAAGCTGAAAAGAGGAAGAACAGATGACATCCCTAATGACCAGGGAGGTTGCTATCCAGAATGAAGTTTCCAAAACAACATGTGTGCATTCATGCTGAAGAACATGTGTATACACACACACACACACACACACAGTCCACACTGTGTGGCGGGTGTGCTGGGTTTCCTCTACTTCTCTGCCGCAGTCCCGTTACATCATCTCATTCCTTCCTCCTGACCTGCTTACGGTCACTCTACCCATCTGTCTGCCATTGACATGGCTTTACTGCTCCCGGCCACTGTTTGTGTGTGTGTGCAGTCATCGTATAAAATCAAATATGTGTGTGTGTAGCATACCAGGTCAGTTTGAAATGAGGCTGGAGAGGAGACAGGTCAATAGCAACTAAAAACACAGAGTAATAGGGTTTCTGCTGGCCAAACGTAAAAAGGTTAGCCATCACAGACACTAAAACTACATACGGTGGAAGCTTCCCTCACATAGCACTGCAGCAACGGTTCCGCCAAAAGATTTACAGGTTTTTCCACTTAGTCGAAATGTCAAAAGTCAGTCCTGTAATCAGCCAAGACATGTTTTGTGCCTCTTTAGTTTTGCGCTGGAGCTATTAGGCTAATGTGGCTTAGTAATAAAAGCAGTATAGCTGCAATGTTAGCATTGCGACAGCTGCATTCCAAAATCATCACATATACCAAAGTACAAGTTCATTTTTCAGGAGATGTTTCCAAGAACATTAGGTATAAAATAATTCACTTGCACTGAACACTGAAAATCAAAGGAAAAAACAAGGGTTTGCAAAACTGGAGGTCAAAAAAAAGATTCAAATATACAGAGAAAATGGGACTCCTAACAACCGTGCAAGACCTGGTAGGCCACCAAAACTGTCCCCATCAGATAAACAGCACTTAAAGCTTTCATCTTTGAGAGAGAGGAGAAAATCAAGCTGCTTCAGATCTGAAAAAGTCCACAGGTGTTTCTGTCCATCCTTCCACTATGAGAAGACAACTCAGAGCTATGGGTCTGAAAGGATGTGTAACTGTCAAGACGTCCTCACTGAGAAAAGGAGACGGACACATCAAACAAAGAAGCTGAACAATGCACTGACCACTCCAGAGTCCAGACCTCAACATCACTGAATGGGTTTGATTACTTGGATTGTGAGAAGCAGAAAATACACACAACCAACTTCTGAGACTGAACTAAATATTAATAAATGAAAGAAATAATTAGTCATTAATGGCCTGTTCGACTGGAAAGTTTTACACAGTACTGTGTCTCATAGCTACTAGCATTAGTGTTAGCCATGTCGAAGCCTGAATTTTCTCTGTACTTTTGTCCATTTGTATTTTCCATACTATAAAATAAACAGACATGTTCTCAGCTCAGCCACTGTTGCTATCGCTGACCTGCATCAGTCAGTGTTTCTAGGTCAGTGTCAGCAAATACAGCCAAAGGCAGAAGTGAATGCTGCATTATCACTCTTCAGTAGGTCAATGAAATTTCATATCTGGTGGCCTCTCCAGACTCTGTGCTTGAGAGTGGATTGGCCATGCTTAGATTTATAGTGAAATAAGCTTAGTCGATTCCCAAAGCCCTCTTATATGAGATAACCAGGGAAGTAATGATGTCCATTCATATTTGGAGAAGCTAATGTTAGTGGAGGTTGCCCTTTGATTCTTATCTGTAATGTACTGTGAACACACAGCTCAAGAAAGGTTTGGATTGAAGGAATAAAACTGTCACAAGAGCAATTTCCATAAACCTCTTCTGTATGTCACTGTAGCCAGACCACATACGCTGTAATTCACTAGTCCAAAATGTTGCATGTATATGGAAATGTTTAAAAGCATCCAGGCACACCTTATAATTATAACTCATCTACTTTAAGGTGCACTCATTCCTGACACAGGTGTTCAATTGTGCACATACAGCTTGTATAATCTCTTTAGAAAAGCATTGGCCAATAGAATGGGACACTCTGGAGCAGCCACACATGAGCCTAAGGTCACTATGTCCAATGCCAAGCTAGAGGGGTATAAAGCTCCCCTAGCACTGGGCAGTTAAGCAGTGAAACTGTGTTCTCTGGAGTGATGGAGCTCCATCCAATCCCTTTGGGGCGTGATTTGTGCTTTTTTTCTTGTTATATTTACAGTTGGCAAGGTGGAACTGATCTTTAGATAAGTGTAAAAAAGTCAATCAGCTGCTTTTTCTCACTGCAAGTGTAAAATGGGACTCAACACTTTCATTTTAAGAGAGCTCATATATGATTTCCTCTGAAGGTGCACCTGATCACAGCACTTCTCAACAATGCAAAGCCAGTGGGATTTTTTTCCCCAAATATGAGTATTCAACAATTGTATATTCGATTCATTTTCCATGAAGTGTTATTACTTGTTCTTTGGTGGCATATCCACCACTATCCAAAAGAAACTGTTCCACGATGCAGTGTAAGCATGTTACCTCTGTTATCAGTAAAACAACACCTGCGGTCACTGCACCACATGAGCAGCGTGAGTTATTTCCTTAAAGAAACATCACTTAAGTGCACAGGCAATTTCTTCAACTGATTGTACATACATTATATGTCTAAAAGTTTGCAGACACCTGTTCATCCAACGTTTCTTCTGTTATCAAAGGTGTTAAAAGAAAAAAAAAATCAGCGAATGTACAGTAATTACACATTAAAATGTGCAGAAGTGTGTTCTCTTTAAAGGATGTGTTATTTTCACTTAGAAAATCATAAAACATCATTTGACCAGAGGCACCTAAACTTTTGCATACAACAGTATAGCAATGCATTCAGCCACCACAAGACTGTTCAATAAATTATTACAGCTACATACGGTACTGTGCAAAACCCATTGTTTAAAGCCATTTATCTCATCAGTGAATGTGTTTTTACCTGTAAAATCACCATTTATCATTAGAACAAATGAAAATAAATATAAATACATGTATAAGTTACACAAATTTCTTATATTGAAAAAAGTAGTTGATATCTTGTGAGCTAGTTTGAGGTTTAAGATTTCTCCTGGACACTCCCAGCCACCAAAAGGATTTGTTTAACTCCACCTCCAGCAGACCTGATTTAACATAATGAAGGACTAATTTGTCAATTATTGGATGATAAATAATACTGAGCTGCTGTGGACAGAGGGTTGGAAAGAGTTAAATTAACACACTGACATATGTTAATACTTGTATTAATTTGCATTTATTGTAATATTAGTGTTTTTCTGAGCAAATAAATGCTCATGTGCTTAAAACTTTGGCCAACAAATGTACCGTGATTAACTGTACGTATTAGATGACGGCAATGTCTGCCTTGTTTTGCAATTATTGGCCTGTGTTCACTTTATTGTTCATCTTTACCATTTTCTGGCCTGTTGTTTACACCTGTAATGAATACGAATAGCTCTGAGTGTATTGTATGTTGGGTATGATGTAAAACTGCTCATTTACTGCCCTCTTGTGGCAAAAATCACATATCTGCAGGGGGAAAAGATTTTATTGAAAACTAGAGCACATTTATTAAGCATTCAACATATCAAAAACAGAAAATACCTAATTAAATAAAGTAAACAAGACTAAAGTAAAGACCCTTTCTGGAAGTGAGACAACATTCTGTTGCTCCAACATTCTGCGCCTTAACTACTTTCAATCTTACATTCAGATTTAATTAAAAAAGCAAAAAACAATCAGAAGAACAGGATAAACATCAAAACAATCAAGGTCGCTGTAGACAGGATCGACGTGCACAAGCAATTATTTACAATCATCCACCAGCACACCAGCCTTGACTGCCAAAAAATAGTTAATACTATTAGTCTGTCTGACTGAGAGCTGTTTACTTTGCTAAACACACCTGTGCTTCACCTCGACACTTTCTGACCTTCAGTCTTATTTGTAACAACCTGCCAAGATCAACAGGCTCAAATCTAAGCATGATTGTAGAAAGCAGATTATTCTGCAATGACCTTTCTTTGTCAAGAGGTGGCAGCATAACGCCTAAAATTAGTGCTACTAGAGGACGGTCATTCCTAAAAGCAGAAGATGGAAAACAGCAGCATTAAAACTGAAGAATATACAGTGGTGCTTGAAAGTTCCTACACCCTTCAAAATTTTCTATATATGTGCATAAATTTGAGCTAGAACTTCATCAGAAGTCCTGAAAGTAGATAAAGAGAACCAAATAAAACAAATGAGACAAAAATATTAGACTTGGTCTTTTATTTCTTGAGGAAAATGATCCAATATTACAGATCTGTGACTGGCAAAAGTAAGAACCTTTGCTTTCAGTGTCTGGTGTGACCCCCTCAACTGTGCAGCAATAACTGCAACTAAACGTTTCCGGTAACCATTGATTAGTCCTGCACATCAGCTTGGTGGAACTTTAGTCCATTCCTCCGTACAAAACAGCTTTAACTCTGTTATGTTGGTGGGTTTCCTCCCACAAACTGCTGCTTCAGGTCCTTCTACAACATTTCTATAGGATTAAGGTCAGGACTTTGACTTGGTCATTCCAAAACATTAACTTTATTCTTCTTTAACAATTCTGTGGTAGAACGACTTGTGTGCTTAGGGTCTTTGTCTTGCTGCATGACCCAAGTTCTCTTCAGTTTCAGCTCACAGACAGATGTCTTGAAATTTTCCTTTAGAATTTGTTGGTATAATTCAGAGTTTATTGTTCTATTGATGATGGCAAGCCGTCCCGGCCCAGACGCAGCAAAACAGGACCAAACCATGATACTACCACCACCTTGTTTCACAGATAGGGCAAAGTTTTTATGCTGGAATGTTTTCCTTTCTCCAAACATAACGCTTCTTATTTAAACCAGGATCTATTTTGGTCTCATCTGTCCACAAAACATTGTTCTAATAGCCTTCTGGCTTGTCCATGTGATCTTTTGCAAACTGCAAACAGGCAGCAATGTTCTTTTTGGATAGAAGTGGCTTTCTCTTTGCAACCCTGCCATTGTTGTTCGGTGTCCTCCTGATGATGGACTCATGAACAGTAACATTAGCCACTGTGAAACAGGCCTTTAGTTGCTTTGAATTTACCCTGGGTTCCTTTGTGACCCAGCAGACTATTACATGTCTTGCTCTTGGTGTGATCTTTGTTGGTTGACCACTCCTGCAGAGCGTAACAGGGTCTTGAATTTCTTCCATTTGTACATAATCTGTCTGACTGTGGATTGATGGAGTTCAAACTCTTTAGAGATGGTTTTGTAACTTTTTTCAGTCTGATGAGCATCAACAACTCTTCTTCTGAGCTCCTCAGAAATCTCCTTTGTTCATACCATGATACACTTTCACAAACATGTCCTGTGAAGGTCAGACTGTGATAGATCTCTGTTCTTTAAATTCACTCACATCCGATTGCCATCCCATTCACCGAAAACAACCAGACTGTAATTTCACCTTAAAAGTTATCTGCTAATCATAAAGGTTCACATACTTTTTCCACTCACAGATATGTAATGTTGGAGCATTGTCCTCAATAAATGAATGACCAACGCTAATATTTTTGTCTTGTTCATTTAATTTTGTTACCTTTTTCTACTATTAGGACTTATGTGCAAATCTGATGAAGTTTTAGGTCAAATTTTATGCAGAAATATTGAAAATTTTAAAGGCTTCACAAACTTTCAAGCACCACTGTAAGTTATAATTAACCCAGGACAAATGCCTTGCATCATTTTAAATATATATCTCATAAAATCTGGTAATGACAAACCTGCACAGCTTTACTTCACTGCAAACAAGACCACCCTAAAATGTAACTGACTGAGTAAACTTAAATAATAGTAATACTGTCTAAATAAAGAACACTGATTAACAGTATAATTATTAAGCTTTAAAATGTAAAAAGATAGAAATAAACAATTTATGTAACTAAAAATAGCCTTTCATAATCTCTTTGATATGTATCATCTTCTTAGATGTGGTTGTGTTCTGTATGTGTTGGTCACAAAGCAGTTACACCGTTTGCTCTTTTCTCTCACGAGTGGTCACGTAGTTCAGCAGGTCGATGGCTGTGATGATGCCAAACACCATTTGCTTCAAAGTGGATGACCCATCGGTCATGTCTACAGAGGAAGAGAGAGAGACCGAGAGAGAGAAATGTTAAGTTAAAGGGTCCAAACTCTACGTTTTTCTAGCATTCAATCAACCCCGCCCCCTTTAAAGTCCATTTTTGTACCTAAAACAGTCATAATTTCTTTACATGACCATTATCATTTATAATTAAAGAAGCTGTTACATTTGTTACTGATACAAGGAAACAACTTCTGTTTTAACTGCTCCTGTACTGTGTCTCATTTAACAGGTTGTCGGGGCTCATGTATGGAGGCTTAGGGAGGCTGCTTTAACCTGTTTGCTTCCTGAAAGCCAGAAACAGCACAGCATTTAATCATTTCCCCCACATCTTCCACTCCAGTAACTCAGCTACAGACTGTGTGCAGTTATGAAACTCCACATCACTTCAACATGAATGGGAGGAGCTAAACTGCAGTAGGCGGAATGGGCGATCATATGTAAATTTCTCCATGGCTGCAACATCACTATGATCATGAATTCAAAACAGGCTAAAGTTTCCTTCTTTTAACAATGTTTACATGCATCTGTTATTTAAGTAAAGCAAGGTTTTCATGATGATGATGTGGCCCTTCTTAATTCTTGATCTTGTTGCCTAGGAGTCAAGCCTACAAAAAGACAAAGTTCTGTCTCTATAAACAAACTAAGTGCTTTTCCTGCAAAAAATTTGTTTTAGAACTTCAAAGGGTTGCAGGGGCTAGAAGTGATGCAAGACAAACACCAGGGACAGATTTGGGGGTCTGAGAATGATGTAACTTGTGTTATAGGTGGTTTTGTAGAAACCAGGAAGTGTACGCTAGTTTTAAAAAAAAATCCAAACACAAAATCCCACCCCCTACTTTCAGCCCTCCTTCCAAAGCCTTTTTCTTTATCTGGCTAAACCAGTAAACTATAAACAAAAGGACACAGCCAGTGGAGGTGTAACAAATAATAGCTATGGACAGCATAGAACAAATTCAATACAGCAAACAAGAGGAAATCAGAGCAATGAGGCTGAAAACTCACACAGCGAGTGAGATTACTTACACTGGATTTGATCGTGCACCACCAGGGCGAAATGGTCTGTCTCCAGGATCTGGGAGAGTTTGCCCAGTTTATCTGTGAGATGAATCTACACACATGGAGAGATATGGCCTCGTTTCAGTTTTTGACTGATCTTCCACAGACTTTCACCAACTGCTGCAGGTGAATTTACGCAATTTATACGTACAATGACATCTAGTGATATTGAGTTCAGTGAGTTATTCACTGAAAAAAAGATTCACAGCAAAGAAGAAACATTACAAAATAAAAACAAATGTTAAAATATCCAACAACATCTGTAGAATATTAAATTTTATTTGTTAAGGTTGTTTGAAATTTGCCTCAGTGCAACAGATCCGCAGGACAAGTCAATGACGCCTTCAGCTTAGCTACTATCTCATCAATAAACATTTCTTCTTCTGGAAAACCATTTGCACTTCAGACACACCACAGCAGCCAAATCCAGTCCGAGTACCTTCATTCAGAAAAAGGAAAGGCTTCGTTTTTATGGGAACCTAGAAATTATCTACGACTGTTTTTATATGTTAGCTGTTTTTATATTTAGCGGAGCTAATAATAATTAAAAAAATGATTTCTATAGCATTGTTCATATATAAAACAATGAAATTAAATAAAATCTCCAACATCAAAATGTGAAACAGAAAAGCAAAAATAAAAACAATTGAAAAAAGTGTTTATTTAACAAAAATGGCAATAACATAAATAAAGATATAATCCCTCCAGCGGGTCCTAGGACGACCTCGGCCCTCGTCCCAGTACGCCGTGCCTAGTAAACCCCCAGCGGGAGACGGCCAGGGGGCATCCTGATCAAATGCCCCAACCACCTCAACTGGCTCCTCATAATGTGGAGGAGTAGCAGCTCTACTCTGAGCTCCTCCCAGCTGACCGAGCTCCTCACCCTATCAAGAAGAGTGTAGCCCGCCACCCTGCGATGAAAGCTCGTTTCCGCCGCTTGTATTCGTGATCTCATTCTTTCGGTCATTACCCAAAGCTCCATAGGTGAAGGTTGGGATGTAGACCAACCGGTAAACAGAGAGCTTTGCCTTATGGCTCAGCTCCCTCTTCACCTCTACCATCCGGTATAGTGACCGCATTTCTGCTGCCGCCTGTCTAAGCCTGCGTCCGATCTCACGATCCCTCTTTCCATCACGCATCGAACAAGACCCTGAGATACTTAAACTCCACCTGGGGCAGTTCCTTTCCCCTTACCTGGATTGGGCATGCCATCCTTTTCTGGCTAGGATCATGGACTTGGAGGTGCTGATCCACATACCAACTGCTTCACACTCAGCTGCAAACCGCTCCAGTGAGAGCTGAAGGCATGCGATGGAGCCCAGAGATGTCACCCTCCGGCCTCCACACATAATGCCCTCCTGACCTCGGCTACACCTTGACACTCTGTCTATGAATATTACAAACAGGAGTGGAGACAAGCCACAACCTTGGCGGAGGCCAACACTCACATTAAATGAGCTTGACCTAATGCTGAGTATACGGGCATAACTCTCTCTCCGAGAGCACAGAGACCGAATGTCCCGGAGTAGTGACCCTGGCACCCTACACTCCCGGAGGACCTCTCACAGGATATCTCAGGGAACACTGTCGTAAGCCTTCTCCAAGTTCACAAAGCACATGTATGCTGGGTTGGCAAACTCCCATGACCCCTCAACAATCTGCGTGAGGGTGAAAAGCTGGTCCATTGTTCCACGGGCCAGGACAGAATCCGCATTGTTTCTCCTCAATCTGAGGTTCAATATTGGTCAGATCCTCCTTTCCAGCACCTCGGCATAAACTTTCCCAGGGAGGCTGAGCAGTGTGATACTCCAGCACACTCTTTCTTAAAAATAGGGTCCACATTCTGGTCTGCCAGTCCAAGGGTACTTGTAAATAAGTATCAATATGTATCAAACTCATCAATGGAAAATATATAGTTCCACTCAGGCACCTCCAAAACAGGCAGAAGGCATCTTATGGCTACTGTGAAAATGTGTTAGGTAAAGTACTTTAATTAAAAATAGCTTATTTGAAATCTTAGCAGTTTTTAAAGTAAATTATCTGTGGTGTCAGTAACTGTAGACAGGGTTTCAATATCGTATTGGGAAAGAGAAAGTAGTAAAGTAAAGTAAAGTAATGTAAAGTTTGGTTGAATGTCAGTTAAAGACAAAATGACTATCTAGAATGAAGTGTTTCCCAAACAGTGATCTAGTTCACCAGACTATTTTCCTGCTGTTGTGAGGGTGTGAATGGCACACATGGTGTAAGCGGAGAATGTGTTTAGCAAATGAGCATGTGTGTGTGAGCGTGTGGGTCTTCACCTGTTTGAACTGCTTGTAGAGCACTTTGATGACGGGATCTTCAGGATTGACCTTACCAGCGAGCACAGACGAGAGCATGTTGCCCAGTGTGACCATACCCAGAATCACCCTGGAGACAAAAGAGAGAGGGAACTTGACTTGACTCATAGTTTACGTTTGATTTCCTCATTTTGTTTAAAAACATCACTCTCTAAACATCTAGTCAAGGGAGACAAATGTTCAAAAGTTTACAATCACTTGCCGTATTTATTTTTTTCAATAATAATAACAACTCATACAATGAGGACATACGTTTACAAACTATTCGGCAATTTTTTTAACGTTTCATTTTATATGTCAAGAATTCTGTGAACAAGATGTGAGTAAAATGCTAAATAAATGTACTATAATTATCTATGTTATATGCAAATTTTGGGGGCCCCTGGTCAAATGACACACATATATACATACATACATACATCATCTAAACCACTTATCCTTCTGGGTCACGGTGGGGTGCTGGAGCCTATCCCAGCTGTCATTGGGCGACATGTTTGTTAATTTTCTAAGTGAAAATGGGTTAACATATTCTCTACAGAGAACGCACAACACATGTTTGTGCACAGTTACTGTTTATTTACTGATTTTAACACACTGGGGGTAAATGTAAAATGCAAAAGTCATTTTTATGTTTTATTTTTTTCCAATATTAGTATGTTAAAACTCAGCAAATTAATAGAAATTAGAAACAGACATTTTTTAAAAACATTCTGTCACTGTAACCTCTGAAATGGTAACTTTACAGGAGAAGGAAAAATTGTTCTTAACTTTAATACGTTTAATCTAACACATAATTTAGAATCAATTCTATTGGTCCATTCATCATGAAATATTCACACAAAGTAAAGGGATTCTGGTGTTTTCAAAAACCAAAAAAACAGTGAAAGGTGAAGATTTATTTTGCCAAAGTTGTGTTTAACTCTTCATGGCTCATGTCTTTTTTTAAACACAGTGCTGCTCGTTATCAAATGCCACAGTTTTACAGGATGTAAATGTCCTGTTTGATAAGATTTCTCTCTCTCAAGCTCTCGTTTTATATTGTCAAGACTCCAGGCTCAGGGAGCTCTGTGACAGACCCCATCTGTGCTGCAGTTTGAGTAGTGGCTTAAAGAAACTGTCAAACCACATCCACAACAGAGGCAGGTGAGTAGCTCATCTGTGGGTAGCCTCAGCTACTGAGAGAGACTGACAGTGCAGCTGTTTCCTCACTAACCCACTCCACATGTTTACTGCCGTGTGAGCCGAGGCATTTGACGCAGAGTGTCAGATGTGATTTACAGTAGATTTACAGTAGACCACAGTTTATTTTGGTCACATAAGCAGTGTTTTTCTTAAATCGAGGCAGAACAATTGAATTTAATCAATTTCCCCTGTACTCCTAATTATATCCGCCTCACATTTTTAGTGTCTAAAGTTTGCTCCTTTAGCTTTGTAATGGAAACTTATGCCCCACCAATTAGCATTTTGCAAGGTTTACTCTTGAATCATCAAACCTTGCCTCTAACAACGTTGAGTACTTCACCAGTCTGCCATTAAAAATAAGAACATAAGAATAAGTTTTTAATGACTTGCCTGTTTAAATTAAAGGTTAAATAATAAAACAACATAAAGTTAAGTCAAAAAGTTAAAAGTAATCTCAAATAGACTTGCTTATGTGGTTTCTGACACTGTATAACACACTGTTAGGAATAAAAAAATGGACAAAAGTATCTGAAAACAGTAAGCCTGAATTCTGTTTGTACTTCTGTCCATTTTTATAAATTACAGTAGGTCATAAAGTGTCAAAAAGAACATAAGTCAATTTGAAAGTACTTACAATGTGTGATGATTCAGGCTTGCAGTTTGCGCAATGCTAGTTGATGGTAGGGCTGCAACTAATGACTACTTGGACAGTCGAATCTATCAATTACGGAAATGAATAGTTGACTATTCACATTATGATTCGCAAGACTACTCAGTGGATCTTATTTAGCTAATAGCTTTAAAATATAGCTTAAGGTTGTTTCAAGCATGTCTTTATTGTCTTTAAAATAAAGACAATAAATATTTAATGCCCCCCACGTCCTATATATGTCCTGTGTTTGTCACTTTTTCCAAAAGTCACATTCGAACGAGGTCAAACAAACTTATATATTGCTCAAATTAATTCAAATGCAATGAGTTTTGGATTTTTTGGGGATTTAGTATCAAATTCTCCTGTGTTCTCTAAACCTTTGCACTCAGCAGCAACACATTCTCCAGTTTTACACGTCACTATGACGATGCAAGGTTTAAAGCTTTAGATTAAACTATGTGGAAGACTGCACTCACACCACTACCGCTGTGCATACAGGCATATTACTACTGTTCCCATATCGTTCCCATATCGGGAATATCATAAAGTTTATCCCCATTCTTGGAACATTTTTTCTTTTGTCTAATTTACAGAGACAAGTCTTCATCATCCAAACAGCCAACATGCCTTCTGTTCAGATGCTCCAGCATAACTGATGTGCTCCCATGCCAGGTCAGCATTGGAATTGTTGCAGTTCACAGCGTTGCTGGCTGAGGTAAGAGTGAAGTGCTCCCACACTTTTTTGGTCGTGAAGGTTTTGACGTTGCGTGATTGTTCACCCCACCCCAGTAAGCAGCAATGCCTACATGTGAGAGCATTCCAAGTCAGCACGACGTCACCAACTCATTAAACAATTAAACTTGTTGGCAACTAAAGTGGTCATTGATTTTAGTCCACTACGTTGATTATTTGCTGCACCCCTAGATGGTCATACATTTCTACCACTTTTTCAGCTGTATGAGCCTCCAGTGTATTAGCCTCATAGCTCCAGTTCAAGACTAAAGAAGCAAACTTCAGACACCAAACATGTCTTGACTGATGAACTACATTTGGGGTAAGGAAAAAACTGTGTACTTGCGTATTTGATTGTTCACAAATTTGTTGTTCACCACTGCTGAAACTACAAAGCAGATATGATCTATCTAGTACAGTATTACAGTACACTAGGGATGACTAACCTACCCAGCCTCATCAACTACTGGAGCCTGGTCAAAACCCTTCTGCTTCAGGATCTGAATGGTGTTTTTAATGTTGACCGAGGGCAGAACGGTCAGAGGAGCAGACAGACTCAACTCCTGAATAGTCAGATTCCACCACCTAAAGAGACATGAGGGGGAGAGAGAGAGAGAGAGAGAGAGAGATGATTAGATGGCACATCCCACGCGTTATGGTTGATGCACTGTACGTAGCAGGACATTCCTTTCATTCCCAGGCATAAGCCAACGTGCTATATTATTGCATCTATGTTTAGAGCTGGCCCCCTAACCAGGACTGATCAGGGCTCTGATTCAGCCACTGATGTTTGTGCTATAAGTCAGTCGTCAGTCCTGGTCCCGGAGAGCACATGCACTAATCATATTCAGTAAATCATCTATCAGTGAAGTAACTGGAGTCCGTATTTAACAAGCTTCTCAGAGTATGACTTCTCTCGTTTCAGCTTCCCTAACTAAGTGATTCATTTAATCATTATTATATGAAACATTATTTTCAGTATTATATTAAACAGATTCTAGATTAACAAAGTAATTCTGAAAAGTACAATAAATAACAAAATAGTCCAGTGAAAACAAGCTGTCAGTCGTGGCACTCAGGAAATATTATTAAACATTATTAAATTGATTCGAACTCCCACTGGCTGTCCGTACAGCAGAGTCTCTCGCTGTCTTCAAATGCAGACTGAAGACACACCTCTTTATACAGCACTTAAATGAGCACTGAATTAAGTATTGATTGTAAAGTATTGTACTGCACTTATGTATTGTATTGTATTGTATTGTATTGTATTGTACTGCTCTATGTTTAACTCTGTTCCTTTTTCTCTAGGTGTCAATAATGACTTTCTGATTCTAGCAGTATCTGAGCTCAGGACTGACTTTCTCTCTAACCTATTAGTAACTAGCAAAGATACTTTCTCTGGATAGACAAAGCACTTTTTGTAAGTCGCTCTGGATAAGAGAGTCTGCTAAATGCTGTAAATGTAAATGTAAATTTTTATCAATGCTGTTTTGCTACATACATGTATTTATGTGTGTTTGTATGAGTGTCTCACCATGGTTTATTCACCATCAGGTCTTCCTCTCTGATAAAGCCTTTCTCACACATCCACTTGTCGTTAAGAAATTTGGACCTGTGGAAGGATTTACACTCTCTTGGTCAGTGATCATGACTTTCCTTTTAAGCAATGGTTCAATGAAAAATCTAACTTACACAGTTTTTCTGCATAAAGCAGATGTAGTCGATCTGCCAAGTCATGTTTAATGTCAAAGCTTTTTTCTTTAGTTTTAAACTGGAGCCACAAGTCTAATGCTGATAAAACTAGAAGTCAATAGTCACCCAAATCTTTTCATCCCCAAACATTCTTAAGATGCTCAAACCACATCCAGGTCTTCATGATGTTTCAGAACAGAGTATGAGGTATTATGAGTTATAAGAATGTTCATCGGGTAGCCATTTTAGGCTACAGGCACTGCACCAAATTCTGACTCCTCTTTGCGTGCAAACACGTCACACGGGTATATGGATGTACAGATTATGTGTGTGATCTGTGTTAACTGATAATCTGACAATCTTGAATTTTCAAACTGAGAATATGTGTTTAAAAATAAAAACAACAGAAATTGTGAACATTTTCTAGCATTCATATGCCTGAATGATACAAGTTGGATTCTGTCGGGGAGTCAGAATTCAGCAGAACACCTGCCTAAAATGTCTGACCACTACATTCAGCTATATAGCAGGTTTTGTTCATTTTTATAGTTCACATTAAGGTATACTGTGTCCTAAACTACATCATCAAGTCTGTGCAACCTTAATAAAAATGTATATGTGGTTTGAGAGAAGTTCTGGGGATTACAATTACAGAAAAGATTTGGGTGACTTGGTTTCTAGTGTTTATTTGCTATAAGAATCATAGCTACAGTTCTAAACTACATAAGCAAAATCTGGACGACAAACGTGTCTTGGCTTGGGACAGTGGAAAATTGTGTAATTAGCTTTTTTCCTAAACTGTTACTTTAATGCACTAACCAATTCAAAACCATTCTTCTAATTATCACATCATTAGAAGAATTTTTTTACAGAAATGACCTGCTACATTGTGAAATTTACTATTTCAAAAGGCCTGCATATTTATAATTAGCTTTTTATGTAGGTGTTGAGTGTCAGTTTCTTTGAAAACTGACGCTGTCTGGAAATGGCTGTGCGGTCCCCTGAGGACAGGCACTGTATTGTATTACACAGCTGAAGCATGAGAAGTCAGCAGCTGCTTACATGTAGTTGCGGATGGAGTCTGGCAGAATGACCACGCAGCGCTGGCCCTCTTTCAGCTCCTTAGCCACCTTCATCGCTGCTGCCATGGCTGAGCCCGAACTGCCACCTTCATACACACCAGCAGAGGGGACCATAAGTTTACATGTACAAATGTAATCACACATACATTAATAACTCAATAATAAGCCTGAACTAAAAGGTTAATACTAATATAAAAACTAACACACAGTGACTCCGATGGTGCCATCTGTGATGGATCATGTTTAATACACGTGGCAAAGCGAGGTCTAAATGAGTACATACCGCACAGTAAGCCTTCGTCGCGGATCAGCATACGTGCCATGGCAAAGGACTCATCATCGTTGGTCTTGTACCAGCTGTCCACCACCTAACAGTTAGCAAGTATAAAAAACTTATATTGGGGTTAATTGCCCTATACTATTAATATTTACACTACTAATCCTGCCAAACCTAATGTCTTTCAGGTGACACATTCAGGAGATGTGCACCCTTTTAACTCATTAAAATCTTCCGAGTAGTTGGTGAGCATGCATGTCTATGTTGCTGATAGTAAAGTGGATCATCAGGTGGAACTGGAGCTTTCTGTGTGCTACTGTGTTTCCTGTCACTTGATAAAAGAAGCTCCACACTGCCCTTATTCTTGGATGGCCTGTCAAAGGGTCCAAGCAATTGCACACTACAGCTTGAAATATTTGCCCAAGTACAAAAGATCCTCATTTCAGATTTGGCTGAGTTTGGATGTCATTTGTCAAGTATATGTCGAGCTCTGGAGGTAGGGTTCAAATTTCACTTTCAGGTTCTCACAGCCCCCTTCACATTTTTAACAGATCTCATGTAGTGCTTAATTTTTCTCCTTACTTAAATGCAGTCTTAAATTGTTTTTTAAATGTGGCATGATGGAGTCATCTACTCCAGAAGGTCCAGAAGGCCCACACTCATTAGAGAGTGGGACATAAACAATTAATCAATTCAGGAAGGTACAGTTTAGTGCAGCCAAAGGAATGTTTAATTTGATTGGTCAAAAATATATTTATGTTTTGTGTTCAGTATGGAGTGGCACACTGGTGCAGCGGATAGCGCTGTCGCCTTACAGTAAAAAGAACCTGGGCTCAGTTCCCTGGCCGACCCCCGGGCAACCAGTGTCCTTTCTGGGTGGAGTTTGCATGTTCTTCCCGTGTCTGCATGGGTTTCGTCCAGGTAGTCTGGTTTCCTCCCACAGTCCAAAGGGCCAATTGGACATGATAAATTGCCCCTAGGTGTGAATGTATGTGTTTGTGAGTCTGCTCTGTGATGGACTGGCTACTCGTCCAGGGTGTTTCCTGCCTGCTGCCGACTGACCACTGACCACTGGGATAGGTTCCAGCACCCCCTCGTGACCCAGAAGGATAAGCAGTTTAGAAAGTGTGTGTGTGCTCAGTAAGTTCTATGTGCAGAAAGGATATTATTGTCACTGCTTGGTAGGTGGTGCTGTCCTCTCAGGTTTAATTGTGGGTGATAGATGGACCAGTTTGGTCACCTTTGGACAGAATTCTGTTTGACTCAAATTAGTTTGGACTTAGAATATGATAATGTGGTTTTGGGTTGGGTCAAGTTCAGACCAAAATTCCAGGCCCGATTAAAGTCAACTGCCCTCGTTCAGAATGTAACCTCCTAAATGGCCAAAGTGTTATTACACACTTCTATAACCTTCCTATAAGGGTAGCTCAGCCAGTTTACTTTGTAGTCCCTGTAGTTACTGAGAGGCTTAGTATGTCATAAGCACAAGACTTAAAGGGATTAAACTTACAGATCGGTCCAGTATGATAGGGATGACATCAGATCCAATGCCCTCCACCTCATAGTGGGTCTTATCCGTCTTATTGAGCTCCTCTGGCTCTGCCAGGATTGAACCCTCAGGGTCCACACCAACAATCTAACACACAGGCACACACTATTACAGTCTGAACAGGATCCATACAAAATGGTGAACAGCAATATAGACAATTACTAACATGATAAATGATTTATTTATAAACATAAGCGGTACCACTTTACAGTAACACTAACCTTATAATGCCGTTTTGAATGCTTAAAAAATAGTTTATGAATCGTTAATAATTAGGTCACAAACACCTTAAACTCATCAATAAGGCGTTATAACGTGCCATAATATTGTGAAGTGTTAATATTATTAAGGTGGAGACTTTATAGAAGCCTATTAGGTTTTTTTGCGTCTCCCTGCACATATATTATGTTATTTTTGTGTGTATTTATTAGCAACAGTGACCTGTTGCTTGCCAAATAGTGAACCCACATTCATCTGTACTGTGAAGCCTTAGATCTTGCTAGTTATTCATCTTTGTCTGTGTCATGTCCATCAGTCAGCATTAAAGCTGTCAGCTTTATCAGATATTCATCAGATACAACCAGGTGTTTATTAATAATTAACAAAAAGTAAATGACAAACTAATTTTGAACTATTCATAATAACGTTATAAGGATAGTCTTATTGTGCAGTGGTCCCTGTACAGGGATTATCTACTGTAAATTTAAAAGGAAGCGTAGCATTTTGTCCTGAATTAATTTGAATGATTCATATACAGACTCATGCAACTAGTCCTGATAGTCCAAAGAAAACTTGCGGTCAAGAAGAAGAAACACACAAGTGTCTCTTCAAAGTTCAAAACAAATAACTGCAACCCATTTGTTCTTATTTATGATGTTTTAAATGCAGTCCACCCCTTTGTCATTGTAATGGCATTGTAAAACGTGAGCAATCACAGCTGATGAATCATATCATGCTTTATAAAGGCTGTAATGCAGTTGTATTTATAGACAGTGTTGGTTTGATGGACAGGTTTGAGCCCAACCTTGATGTTGGGGCATTTTTCCTTCAGCTTACGGGCAACGCCAGTGATGGTACCACCTGTGCCAACTCCAGCTACTAGCATGTCTATTTTACCTGCAGGAGCACAGAGATCACATGATTAATGAGTTATAAGGACAATCTAAGGCTGCAGTACAACCAGAGGTTTTGTCAAACACTTTACTGAAGAGTACAACACAGTAAGACAGTAAGCACCGTAAGAAATGAGGGTGAAAGTAAGATTGCTTTGGTCTGTCAACAGGGTGTTCAGCTCTGCTGCTGAAGAATGAGCTTCATAATCTGGAATACAACCCAGCATTTAATGCAGGATCAGGGTCTAAATGTACTTTATCTAGCCACAAACTCTACTGTTCAGAAGTGGAATCAATGTAAAACCAATTTGGTTGCAGATAAATGTAGCTGTAGCATGATTCTAATTGCTAGTCCTGTGCAATTTCACAGAACTTGGAATCAGTAAAAAAAATTAAGAACTTTTAAATGAATCTAGTTTGATGAACAGAGCTGTAGATGATTCCATGATGACTGAGAAAGTTGTGAAACATTGAGAATGAAGTTATAACCAGTGTTGGGTTGTAATGCTGTACAAAGTTATGTGTTCTGGTAATGTGATTACTTTTTCTTGTAACTGCGTAGTGCAACACATTACAGTTTAAATTCTTGTAATTACATTAAAGTTACTGATATAATAAGAATTATTACTGTTAAAATACACTATAATAATTATGTAAAAATTACCTGTAAATAATGAATTTCCTCTATATAGATTATCCGTGCATGTCCTTGTACAAAATTTGTGCATGTCTGTCCTCCTTGGAACAGCCAATGATTGCATGACTTTAATTGTATATATGAGCAGTGCAGTGCGATCCTGGATGAGTCCCCAATTCTGTTACTACCCGGTCGTAGTGAGAGTGGGAAAAAATCTGTGACCTTTTACTGGAATTCACCAGTTGCAGTAGTTTTACAGAGCAATGCAGAATAAAGTAATGAGTAATGTAACATTTTACAGGAAGTAGTAAGTGATGTGGTCCTATTACATTTTAGGAGAAGTAATTAATAACTTGTGATGCATTACTTACTCCAACACTAGTTATAATAAATTTAACATCTAGAACACCTTTTATTCAAAAGTGGCAATTAAATGACAAAAACACTTTAAAAGATAACTGTAGTATTTTATTTATTATTTAATAACTTCTTGTTACCAAAATACACACACACACACACACACACACACACACACACACACACACCTTACCATCACACTGCTCCAGAATCTCCTCGGCGGTGGTGTCGTAGTGGACCAGGGGGTTGCCGGGATTGCGGTACTGATCCAGAAAGTGAGAGTTGGGGATTTCTTTCTTCAGACGCCAGGCCACGCCCACATGAGATTCAGGGGAGTCGAAGTGAGCCGAAGTTGGAGACCGAACAATCTCAGCACCAAGAGCACGCAGGACGTCCACCTAACACACAGTCAAATCACAAAACAGCGCTTTTTGTATTTTAAAGAAATACACTTATTAATATTGTGCATAATGCAGGTAACTGAACTGTATAACTGAGCCAACTTCCTGTGTTCAGCTGCATACAGCAATCGGTGTTGAAAAAATATTACATGCTTCATAGCAGCACATGACTGATAGCAGCATGGAGCTGCATGTGATCAACAGAGGAGAGATTTAGCAGTGTCCATTATTTATCTAAGGTGGGATAAAGGCAGGAGGTGCTCTGTACTCTTTTAATTTGTTGTTGTACAATACTAGGTGCGCCTAAACCTCAACAAGAACAAGACATTTGGCGGCCATGGCTTCCCATAAATAAATAAATAAATAAAAATTCCACTATATTTCACTGCCGTGGGTGATGTCAAAAGCTGGGAGAATTTAACTCTGACTGCTGCGGTACAATGAAGCGTGACATTTACAGTTAAGTAAAAGTTTGAACTGAAGTTTCTGTTGATTTTCTAAGTGAATATAAGTTAACACGTCCCCTACAGGGACAAAACTTAAACATGGAATTTTTCTGAGAATTTTAATGACCAATTTCTATTTTTTTGCTGAGTTTAATATGCTGGAAAAAAACTACAAAAATGTGGCCACATTTTCTTTTTCCTTTGATTTATTTTTTTCCAATATGTTCAACTGAGCTAATACACAGTAACAGTAATAATAGTATGTGCAGATAATAAATTGTTGTAAATAACAACAATAAAAGTATGTGCAGCAGTGTGTTCCCTGAGGATGTGTACTTATTCGTGCTATAATTTCCATTGACTTTGACTTTAATATGAGAATTCTGACACTCACCTTATCCATACTCATCTTCTCAGGCATGACAATGATGCAGCGGTACCCTTTTACTGTTGCAGCCAGAGCCAGACCAATACCTGAGAAAACACACAGCAAGAAACCACACACCAAACACCCACAATGTACAGGGTGAGTCAAAAGACAGGAAGCACACAAATATAGCTACACTGATTGGTCAAACACATGATTTCAATATAAAATGAAGGGTCTTGCAGATAATTGTGTGGTTTGAGACTCTTAAAATTACTTTTAAATCAAACTGTACATTAACTATGATACATCATACATAGATCATCTTTATGCCCCTTATTTGGAATGTGTTCACAGCACTGTGAAAAAGTATTTGTCCCTGATTTCCTCTGTTCTACATATTTGTCAAAATAAATGGTTTCAGATCCTCATACAAAATTTAATATAAGACAAGAAGAACATAATCAATTTAAAATTGTGGTTTTTTTTTTCCTTATTTTATTTATTGAAGCAAAAAAGCTTTGCATCACCTGTATTACCCATGTGAAAACCTATAACTGGAAATCAGTCTTTCACATCACTGTGGAGCAGTTTTTGTCCACTCTTCTTCGCAGAATTCCTTAAAATTCAGATAAGTTTGAGTGTTTTCCAGCATGAACTGCTCATTTAAGGTCTTGCCACATTAAATGATTACTTAAAAACTGTGTTTTGTGTTGTCCTTTTCTTATATTTTTTTTTTTTGTTTAAAGAGCTGAAACTATTATGGGTGACAAATAGGGGTGGGAATCTCTAGGCACCTCACGATTCGATTCGATGCGATTACAAAACGATTATCGATGCATTTCAATGCATCTTTTTTTCTATACAGCATTTATATTTTCTCAAGTTTCGAGTTCATGTTTATTTGTCACTTGCACAACATGTCAGGAAATTTATGCATTGAAATGCTTGTGGTGAGAGTCTAATTACCCTACAGAAAGTAAATAAATAAAAATAAAAATACAAGAAAAACTAACTGAAATATATTAAATATACACAGAATATAGAGACAATATACATTTTAAAGTGACTAAGTAACTCTGTGTTATTGTTATTTAAAGTGACTTGGTACCTTTAAAGCAAAGTATTTGTAATGATCCATAATGAATTTACATCCAATATCTTTTTTATTAAATCAAATGTAAGTGATGTGGCAACTGAACTACAAGGCTCTCATTCAGTGCTCTTGTTTGGAGCACGAGAAGCTGCTGCTACTCATCTGCGATAAAATGCGCAGTTACGGTGAAATAAGATCCAGTGGTGATGGATGTCCACGCAGCACATGTTACAGCTATTCTACCCGTTTTCTTTAGTGATTTTATAACTTCGGTTTTCGTCTCATTGTAGAGACGGGAGGGGGGGTCGCTGTGTCAGTTAAGTATCTTTGAGACGGGTCGTGTGCAACACAGCGCGAAAGCTGTGTTTCGCAACGATTGAGAACCGGCGTGCAGACTGCAGGTCACATAGCAGCGATGCGTTATTCGCATTTATAAGCAGCGCAGTTGGTTTCCTGGTCCGTTAAATCTGCAATGAGAGACTGTCACACACTAAAAAGTGGTGAAGCTGAAGTCGCTTCTCTTTCGAATTCTACCGTTCCACCTTAAATGGTGCCGCATTTACATTCGGCACCTCAGTGAGAATTTAAGGTGGAACGGGTAAATTCAAACAAGAAGATGGAGAATGAGAAGCGACTTCAGCCTCATTAAACAGTCGAACGTTGAGAGACGTTTAACTGATCTACTACTAAGGAAAAGTTTCCTGAGGGAAAGGGGAGGAAAGCGGCTGTAGGCGAAGCTTAAAGCAGAGCGAAGTAAATCTGCACTCTCGTTTATATTGTTTAGTCTATACTAGGACATCAGCACACACTGACACATACTGGACATTAAAGGTTGTGGCTCCCAAGGTGGTTTGATTTTCGTTGAAAGGACAAAATGGCTCTTCTTGTCATTTGTGTTGTGAGTCCTGATCTAACCTGGCTTTAATGCAGAGGGAGCTGGTCAGATTTCTCACTCATCCAGTAGCGTTTTTGTTATGTGCCGCCACAGACTGTCCGGGCGCTGCACTTCCCCACTTCCAAGTTCCGCCTTTTGCGTTCCGTCAACATTAGGCTATAAATTAAATATTTAGAAAATCGATTTTTGACATTTGTGAATCGATTCAGAATCGTTCACGTCCACATCGCGATGCATCTAAGAATCGATTTTTTCCCGCACCCCTAGTGACAAATATGCAAAAATAGAAGAAATCAGGAAGGGCGAAATATTTTTTATCACTTGACTGTATATAGAACAACTTTGTGTACAGAGCCATCTAAACCTGAAGAACTGAAACAGTAAAAGCAGCTGTGTGTCAGGCAGAACAGCAGACTCTCTCGCAATCCTTCATCTGGTACAATTGGCTCTCCCACACACAAACAATCTTTGAGCTGGGGGCGCACAGTGGCTTTCCTAGCATGGGAATAAAATACTGCCAAATATGCTTTTAACTGCAGTTATTTTACCTGACTCATTAAACTGCACAGCCTAGAGTTAACGGTAGATCCGTATTAATATATTCTCACACACACCTGTGTTTCCAGAGCTGGGCTCGATGATGGTGTCTCCAGGCTTAAGGATTCCAGCTTTCTCTGCATCTTCCACCATACGCAGACTGGCACGATCCTTCACACTGCCTCCAGTGTTGAAGAACTCACACTTAGCCACTGCAAACACACAAACCATCAACCAGCACATTAAATCAAACCATTTTTAAACCATGAATCCCTCAGAAAACTGTTATACGCATCTATTCATCATGGCATGTTTGGTTGAGCTGTTGACCACATCCCTCTCTCCCAACCTCACCATTTTTCCCCATATAAGCAACAAAATATTAAAATAAATATCAAAATAAAAATTAATTTCATTTTTTAAAACGGGATATCATGACTGTTTCTTGGTTCAGTGATTAGGCCTATAGCTTGCTTTGAAAGGCTTACTGATCAGTAGATACAATGGCTTGTACTAGCATTACGCTTGATAAACAATCGCTTTTTCTTTGTCATCTGAGAGCTGTAGTGATTTTAGTGTACGGTTTACCTCAGACAGTCTGTGTACTTCTGTGAGCAGAGTGCCTGAGGGTGAACCTTCTGCCGTGCACATTTCACACTTCAAACCACAGCATCCCCACTGAAAAACACTTTTCATAGACATCCAGAAAACTCATGTTTTTTAATATGGTACTGAAGACTTGTCAGTTGACTACTTTTCTGAATGACTAGTCAGCTAGTAAAAAATTAAGAATCAACCTTTGGTACAAAGCAACATGTTACAGTAATGCGACTGCTTTTTCCTGTAACTACAGTAGTGCAAGACATTACAGTTCAAAAATCTAGTAATTACACTACAGTTACGGACATTATAAGAATACTGTTACTTGCCTCACTCATATCTGTCTCCAATAGAGCTATATTAATAATGTGAGACACATTTAAATTGTAAACGTCTTCAGTATAGATTATTTGTGCCTGTTCTTTATGTAATTTGTATGTGCCTGTGCTACCTGTGACAGTTGACTGTGCAGCTTTGACTGTGCATGCACTAATATCTTGACAAACAATTTGTCAAAATATCTAATCACACAAATATTTAACTAATGGATAAAGATCCCAAAATATCAAAATACTGTGGCAACAGCGAAGAAGACAATGTGGGAAAGATTTCACTTTAAAGACGAGTGCTCTTTCATTAAGTGGGCAGTAAGAGAGAACCGCCATTCAGCGCTCCAGAAACAGCTGAGATAGCAGGGAAGTCATACACTTTTACCTGATGGTAGACACTAACACTGCCCCAATTACCCCACAGTCCAGCACGGAATAGTGCAAACACACACACACACACACACACACACACACACACACACACACACACACACACACATGCACAAACACACTTTCTAAGCCACTTATCCTTCTGGGTCGCTGGGGGAGCTGGAGCCTATCCCAACAGTCACTGGGCTGAAGACAGGTCGCCAGTCCATCGCAGGGCAGAATAGTGCAAACACCACATGCATATCATTAAGCTAACAACAACTTATTTACAAAGAATATCTCTCCCATTGTGTCTTAAGAGCCTCCTTATGTGGCCATTCTGCATGGTCACGCCTCCTGTGCATCTATGGCAACGCGAGCCAGTAGCTGAATGCCACAATATAATAAAAATACTCATTTTTACTAGAATTATTTTGTCAGTTAATAAAATAGCTTGACAACTGTACACTATTATGTAACCCAACAGACGGTTGGTGAAATGCGAAATTCTTATATATTTATCAATGTTAAGCCATTCATTAAAAAAAAAAGGTGTTAGGAAGTAGAGGGAATTCTGCAGGGGTGCAGTCCCAAAGTGGCATCTGGCAGCAGGAAGTGGCACATACTGGCATGTGCCACATAGCGAATGGCACCTGAATGCTGAGAAAGAGGGAGTGACAGTTCTTGAAGAGCTGGTAATTTCTGGGATTGTCCATGGAGTTGAATTTTCAAATATCTGATTCGATTTTACCAGCTAGAGTGATTTAAATCCACGGGCCAGATATCATAACATCTACTCAGCTCAACTAAATGCCTACTCACACACACACATATGCATGGTTAACTGGCACTCTTTCCAAAGTCTTTCTGTTCACACAGCAAAAGCGTAATCTGTTTTACATGAGCTTTCTAGAAATATCAGACGCTTGGTTTTGAGCTTCATTAGCGGTTCATCATCTGGCTATGACTCCACACGTTTAAACAAACTGCTTGACAAATGAAAGAGAAGCTTAAGCAGAAGCCTGTGACTGGTCTCTGCCCTGTTCTACAGAACCTGATAACAACTGGACCAGTGCAGACACTGGTACATGGCAGACAGGGCAGGAAAAATGTTCCTTCAGGGAGATGAAGGCTGGGCAACATCAAACTTCATAGGCATACTTAAAGCAAAGACACATTTTTTATTATTTTATACTGTCTGGGGATGATGTTTCTAGAAAGCTTCTCTAGTCTAATACTGGCCTTCAGGTTGAATAGAATAGAATAGAATAGAATAGAATAGCTTTAGTGTCAGTACAATTACATTTTTTCAATGAAAATTTGACCCTGAAGAAAGATCATGAGATTTTCACAAGGTGAATGCCACAGGGGCGTGCCACCCTCATGATCATAGCAGCTCTATTATGCAGATTTTCATTCAAAGTGGAGACTCTTGAGGGCAACTGGAGATTTTCACTTTGCTATTGCTGCTTGTTGATTTATCTATAGTTCTCTGGCCAACACTGTCCAGAGTGGTTTTCTGAAGTATCATTTTAAAAGCCTGTTAAAAGCTGAATTTGGATGAGACGGTTACAGTCACTGATTTTCTCATAGCAACATACAGTGCGTGAGTACACACACACACACACACAAACACACTGCAGTCTAGGCCATCTGGGGACATGATATGTGAAGCCATTTATCTAGGCAGTAAGCATTTATTTGTTACATTAAAATAGTTAATTACTAAATGATGATTTTTATTCTAAAATGCTTTCCATTGGTAACAGTTTTGGATACAATGAGTTTTTGGAAAACACATTTTCTTTTTCTAATAACGGCAGTATTAAAACACACACATAGCACTGATATTTCTTATATGTGTAAAGCCCACTCCTAGCAACATATAATAAAAAACGCAATAGTGGTCTATAATGCGTTTTGCAACAAAACCCTTCAAATACACAATAAACACTGTGCTGTGTTTTGATGCATGTTTGTTAGCTTAACCATTTCCAAAGCCCTCATTGAGGAAGTTCAGGATTTACATCAACCATCCAATACATAGTTTATATAATCAGTCCTTCATTACATTGAATCAGGTGTGCTCATGATGGAAGTTAACAAATCCAAACGGAGGCTGGAGTGCAGTGAGAAGTGATCAAGAAATGTTTGTTAGTTGTATCAGTAGTTCTTCTAATGGTATATAGTGTTTTTACTGCCAAAAGACTTTGTGTCCATCTTAATAATTTTAAACAATTTTCATGGCTGCCCAGTTTTGCACAGTACTGTGTACACTCACACACTCACTCAGAAATATACATGAAACTGTGTGTGCTAAGTTGAACGCTATGACAGAAGTGAGGACATTCTAGGAAATGTTACAGAGGGACTGAAGCACTGATAGTTCTGAGAATTGTCATCTCCCCCCTCCTCGTGACAAACCAAATCCAGCTTGGTGCTGTCTTGCTCTTTAGCAGTCATCCTGAGAATTACAATCGCTGCCAGCTTTTGATTCCTTAGATCCCCAAACTGACCAAATAAGTCTCGATTTTCAGAGAAAGATCCAGAATTTGACTAAACTTCATGTGATTTTCTGAGCCCAATTAGAAACAGAAAAGGCTGAAGTGAAAGAGCTTGTGTGTAAGTGTTTAAACTGTGTAACAGCACAGTGATATCTGAACTACTGGATATTTAATACAGAGTGTGTGTGTGTGTGTGTGTGTGTGTGTGTGTGTGTGTGTGTGTGCGCGCGTGCGCGTGTGTGTGTGTGTGTGTGTGTGTTCCTGTTCTTAAAAAACTTTAGTTTTTCTATTAATTTGGTAACAATGTGGCGAGTCCAGAATGTTCTACACACGCACACAAGCACAACCCAGTGTATATTCTACCTCATTAATTGTGACAAAAATGAAAACACTGATGTGATATTTTAGGGGTAGGAAAAACAAAAATGAAAAGTATAGTACGGCATTTATATGATGTTATACACTATATGGACAAAGGTATTTGGACACCCCTTCTAATTACTGAATTCAGGTGGTTTAGCCACACTCATTGCTAACAGGTGGATAAAATTAAGTACACAGCCTTGCAGTCTCAATTGACAAACACTGGCAGTAGAATGAGAACTGATGAGCTCAGTTACTTTAAACATGGCACTGTCATAGGATACCACCTTTGCCACAAGTCAGTTTGTGAAATTTCTGTCCTGCTAGATCTGCCCCTGTCAACTGTAAAAGCTATTACTGTGAAATGGAAGCATCTAGGAGCAACAACAGCTTAGTCACACAGTCACACAGCGCACAGTGCCTATCCACTGTTGAATCACTCACTAGAGTGTCCCAAATTGCCTTTGGAGCAACATCAGCAAAATTATCCATTTCCATGGCTGAGCAGCTACACACAAGCCTAAGGTCAAAATGCACAGTGCCAAGCGTTGGATGGAGTAGTGTAAAGCATGCCACCACTGGAGCAATGGAAAGGGAATGGAATGGAAACTGTGGAGAAATTGAAACTGTGAAGTGATGAATGACGCCTCTCTATCTGTCAGTCTCATGGAAGAGTCTGGATTTGGCGAATGCCAGGAGAACATTACCTGCCTGACTGCATTGACTGACTATGAGGTTTGGTGGAGGGGGGATAATGCTATGGGGTTGTTTTTCAGGCCTAGAACCTTTAGTTCCAGTGAAGGGAAATCTTAATGTTTCAGCAGACCAAGACATTATGGATGATTATATGCTTCCAACTTTGTGGGAACAGTTTGGGGAAGAACCTTTTCTGTTTCAGCATGACTGAGCCCCAGTGCACAAAGCAAGGTCCATAAACTCATGAATGGGTGAGTTTGGTGTGGAAGAACTTGCGTAGCCCACACAGAGCCCTGACCTCAACCCCATCAAACACCTTTGGGATGAACTAGAATGGAGACTGAGTCAGGCCCTCTCGCCAAAAACAAACACAACAAAAAAAAACACATACACACACTAAAAAATGGTGTGTGTGCTATTGCCAGTCAGTCTGTAAAGCCTGAAATAATAATTTAAAAGTTAGTCAGATTTCACATGCGTTTTTCAGACCATACGTCTTTATACATAATTGTAACACGCACAGGCTCAAAACGAAGGTGTAAACTTGGTTAAATAATAATAATAATAATAATAATAATAATAATAATGCAATTTCATGTATTAATTTATTTGACAGTGCTCATTAATCAACAGAAAAAAGTACTGTTTGTGCCAGAGTTGGTCAATATTGGCTGATTTTCATCTGTTGTCCATGGCCAGTTCCTAAAATGGCAACCTAAAATCCCCAGGAAACCCCTAGTATGTTCATTGTGAATATGTCCACTACTGATATGATTGTACGGTTCATCATCCCTCATAATTTTTCAAGTGCTCATGCTTTAGCAGGAATGTGCTGCTTGTTGAGTTTCTTGGAGGAGTTTGTCTACTGGGAAACCCATGTATGAGAGAATGTTACCTTTCTCATTAACACATCTGTTAATCCTTAAATTCAACTTTACAGGGAAATTTAACACTTTATATGTTCTGTGACCTCCCCCTATCCCATCAATCTGTCTCCACTCAATGTTCTGGAACCTAATTTGTAATTTAAGTACACCGTTCAAAGAACATCTGTTGGCCCAGTTAGCGTTTCTTATTGCAGTTCCTGGCGACCTGCACTGTTTTGCCTATTCAGTGGCCCAGCACCTCGATCCAGCTCACGAGCTGGATCAGTTTGTTGAGTCAAGGAATACATGAAACGATGCAGTGCGGCAGGTCGGCAGGAGCAGGAACAAGAAACGCTGGTTTCAGTAAGAGAAAATGGACAAGGCAGAAACCTTTTTTGCTTCATACCAGACACACCAAAAATAAAGTTAATCTTTATCAGCTTGTAGCATTTCCCTGCTCTAAAATACCCGACTGAAAAATATACTAATTATCAAACAGAGTCAGTAATTAGTGTCTATGGAGCTCCAGCTGATGCAGTACTCACAGATCTCACACTTCAGCCCAAAGGTTTTTGGGATCTTGTTGACTCGGACCATTGGGGTGTTTCCAATTCCTCCCAGGATGCTGGGCATAATCTTGGTGACTTTCGTCCTGTAGGAAGATGCATAATACTGTTACACATCCAGAGACGATACATAATGCAAGAACCAAAACAAACAATGGAAAAAACTGAGGGGTACTTCTGGTTTCTCAGCAACAACCAAACAGTTTGAGTAAGAATATCACAGCTTCACACAGAAAGTCCATGTCTAGCTAAAAGAAAACATCATCTCTGTTGCAATAAAATCTTGTATCTCCAAAATAGTAACTTTACAGGAAAAGGAATCTTATTCATGAAACTTTCGTATGACATGGAAAAAAGCAGAGATTTGAGCACAAATGATAAATCAGCTTCAGTGCGTGAAATCAAGCGCCAGCCTACCAGCACCTCATTTACACATCATTGAAAGGAAGCAAGCCCTGCTTAATGCAGGTGTTCCAGTAGGAACCCAAAAAAACCACAGCATTCAGCAGACCATGAGCCAATGGCTCTGCTCATTGGCAGATTCTGAGGTCAAGCAGTGAGTGCACTTTATAATGATAAAAGTACAACGACTGAAAAGAATGAAAAGTGAATTAAATAAAACGTCTTGGTATTTTAAGATGATAGAATGAGGTGATTGTGTAGTGTGCAGGGATACAAGAGGAGGGGGAGCAGCACCCCCTGATTTCAGGACTGCAACTGCTGAAAACAACAACAACAACAACAACAACAACAACAACAACAACAACAACAACAACAACACAGAAATCTGAATATTTAAAAAAATGTAGTAAAACGTTTAGTGGACTTGTGTGCTTGTTTTAGAAAATAATTTGCATTTTTTCTGTTTTTATTAATATATTCTTCACACCTGCAAAAGTCAACACTTTAAGTTAACTCTGTATTTTTTGGCAAGTCAAATTGTAAAATGATTAGTACAACTGTAAATTTCTATTTTTAATTCTCATTATTGGCATTATAGATGATATTGATAATAGTTTTGGTACGCTAACCCCAATACAAGCATTTTTTTCAGGTTGTTAAATGCTTATGCTCAAACTTACACGCACTCCTACCAGACGTGAGTTTAGTTGTACAGATATAGTAAAGAGGAAACTGATAAATTGCAAAACTGAGAAATGAAAAATAATTTAAATTGATAAAATTGATGAAATTGATTTATTAAAACTGATATTTGCGTACACTTATTTTACGATGCAACATTGATGAATAAGGGCCAATGTAAGGGCAGGGGGTGTTTTTTTGTTTTTGCCAAATTTGAAATGACAAGGTTTTGTTCTGACAGTGACATTATTCTATGTAGCCATACATACATAAATACATATATTATATTATATTATATAAAATATGATCAAAGTGGAGGGCCTATGGAGACTCTGAACCCATATCAGTCTATAGAAGGCCTCATAGACTTGCACTGCAACATAGACAGTCACAGTAATAAGGTGAAGGTCATATCCTGAAGCCACCTGTTTAATTAATGAGTCTGCGCATTCTTCAGGTCACTATGACTCAGCAATCTACACTGCGAGTCACAGTGTCATGCCTGAACATCACTTCCTCTTTTTTGAGCACAGGAAACACTGCAAAACAAGATCTTTGGAAAAGGCACAGCTGATTCAATCTCCAACGGCTTCAGGAGAATCACACTTCCCCAATAAAGGCTGCTGTTATGATCTTCAGTGAGCCAATATAGGACACTGGTGTTTATATGAGCTGAACTCAAGAACTTAATATCTGGAGAAGGTTACATTTCACATAGATGGCGTACGTTTTCTGGGCTACACTTAGCAAAGTATTTAGTACCGGCATAGTTTGTACTGGAAAAATGCGAAAGCACATACAGTTCTATGCAAATCTTTGCACACCCCTGGTCTAATTACATATTTGTTGTGAAATAAGTCAACACATCAATGGAACAAACTCAAATATATGTTTTTTGTCTGCAAATTTTAGTGCACAATTTATATTCAAGTTAAATTTAACATATTAAATGTGCCATAACTTTTGCATAGACCACTTTTTTGTTTTATCTTCTTCCAGTATGTTAAATTCATCAAAAAATAAATAAATAAGTAAAATAATTGTGCAATAAATTATGTAGAAGTGTATCTCCTGTAGAGGATGTTAACTTATTTTCACTCAGAAAATCAATAAAACATGTAATCTGACCAGGGGTGACCAAACTTTTGCATCCAACTTTAACATGTTTAATATGCTAAATAATCTTTCTAATATTATAAATAAAAGCTACAATAACATTGCTAATGTGATCACACAATCTGAAATCATCAACTTTATGTCCGGCTTCCTCACCGCTGAGAATGTATATGTGGGGAATCCTTGCTTGGCTCACCGAGCCTCCAAGTGCATCTGCTGGCCAGATCTGGACGAATCCACTTCATGTCCATGATGCCCTCCTGCTTTCCATCCTCCAGTTTCTTGTTCACTTGACCTGAATCATTTTCGACACGGTGACTGTTTTCTCCCTTCGTATCAGCAGAGCACCCGGCTGCTACCTCAAGGTCTTCCCCGTTCAGGAGTGCCATCTTCTTGGCAGCATGGGGGCCAACAGGAGCCAGAGTGGCAGTGTCTGAATTAGAAGGCCCCGAAGACATGGCTCAGCTGAAGGCACAAGAGAGGAAAAAACAAAGAAAGTACATCAAAATGATGCCATTATAAACTCAAGCAGTCAGCCTTCAAGGATTGGCCTTGAGACTCCAGAAACTGGACAGGCTTCCTGGACTTATACAGATCTTGTTTTCTGAGATTTGTACTGATTTTCATTTTTAAAAAAGGAAACAATTTGAGTACAATATAAATGTTTAACCATAAAAACCATCACTGCATGACTCTCATACCCCCTGTGGATTAACCAGTTTTGACTAGTTTGTGAATAATGACTATATGATGTTGCCACCACTACCACTTTCATCTGTTTGCAGCTCAGAATGCTGTACATTCTCCGAGCCAGAGCTCATGCTATCTCTCATTTAATGACCCGCAATGAGCTAAGTGATATATAGCAGCAGAAACCCTCCAATAACATGGATTAGATTTTTACTAACCTTATTAAGTCAATTAGATTGACTTAATAAGGTTTAATAGAAAATGTTGAATGTATTATTGCTATTAACAATATATAGAACTAAGTAAGTATTACTATTACCATTTAACATTTTACTATTCAACTATATTTAATTTTTTCCTCCAAGAGCATTATTGCAAGTTAATTTCAACATCTATAAAATCCTTTCTGACTGATTTTTTATTCTTTAATACCATTTCAGGGTAACATAATGACAACGGAGCCTGTCTGGAATCACTTTTGTCAGATAAGCTGTGAACACACCTGCAGCATGTAATCACTATGACTAAGACTAAGACATGGCAAATGCTGGAACATTTCCTGACTACGAATCCTCAGCCGGCCTTTAAGCTTTATTTGAATCTGAGTAAACAGCACTGAAATTTCAGTCCTGAACCCTAATGTTCATAGAGTCTGAGTCAGCGACACCAGAGAACTGGATACACCCACCAACACACCCCCACACCCCCGCCCCCGCTCACACACTACAGCAGTGCATTACTGTAAATTTCAGCCTCGACAAGTTTGGATATAGTGCTGTATTATTCATGCTATTACATGGCCAGGACAAATAAAAAAATAATAATATTCAGCCTTGTCTTGGACTTAGGGTAAGATCAGGCAAGTGCGATGCCTCCGTCTGAGGTAACTGGATGCTGAATCATTATTGAGTATCAACAAAACTAGAAGAAACAGAATAAAATAGCCCTTTCTCTGCATCAGGGGCTATACGATTTTGCAACTCATGGTCCAAACAAATGACCACAAAAGCGGATTTAAGCGATCAGGTAATTTTTCTTTTCTGACTCATCTAATGACAGGGCTGATTTGGCAGCTACAGAATGCTGGATGTTAGGCTGAAGAGAGGAAAGCTGCAAACTGAGTTCTCAGTTCAACAAGTTTATTTATATATTCATTCTGTTTAGTCTCTGAGGAATGGTGTAAGTTTTTGGGTTTCAGTGCTTCATTTGAAAAGACTCTGGAGCAAACAGCACTGAGCTGTAGTCACTATTTTCAGCTGTCATGCACGTGAAGGCCAGCATTACATATTCAATAGAGTATTTCCTTCATTTTGATTGTGTTTGTGATGAAAATATAAGCATAGCCAGCTAACATTTTCCCAGAACAAATGAGCTCAATATAGATACCCCGATCAGGCATATCATTATGAGCACCTCCTTGTTTCTACACTCATTGTCCATTTTATCAGCTCCACTCACTATATAGGTGCACTTTGTAGTTCTACAGTTACAGACTGTAGTCCATCTGTTTCTCTGCATACTTTGATAGCCCTCTTTTACCCTGTTCTTCAGTGGTCAGGACCCCCATAGGACCACCACAGAGCAGGTACTATTTGGGTGGTGGATCATTCTCAGCACTGCAGTAACACAGACGTGGTGGTGGTGTGTTAGTGTGTGTTGTGCTGGTCTGAGTGGATCAGACACAGCAGTGCTGCTGGAGTCTTAAAAAACCTCAGTGTGACTGCTGGACTGAGAATAGTCCACCAACCAAAAATATATAGCCAACAGCGTCCTGTGGGCAGCGTCCTGTGTCCACTGATGAAGGACTAGAGGATGACCAACACACTAACAACTGTGCAGCAGCAGATGAGCTATCGTCTCTGACTTTACATCTACAAGGTGGACTGCCAAGGTAGGAGTGTCTAATAGAGTGGACAGTGAGTGGACACAGTGTTTAAAAACTCCAGCAGCACTGCTGTGACTGATCCACTCAGACCAGCGCAACATACACTAACACACCACCACAACGTCAGTGTTACTGCAGTGCTGAGAATGATCCCCCACCCAAATGTTATGCCTGATCAGTGTATATAGCATCTTTATGTCTATATAGATGCATGTGTTTTTATCTCATGTTTTAATAGTCTTATGTTTTAATATCTTTAATGTTTTAATTTGATATATCTTTTTGTTTTTATATTCTGAAAAAAAAAATCTCAAAAGTTGCTGCTGAATGCCTTTATTCAGTATTTTAAGGTGTTAGGTATTTTGTAAGGTATTTGACTTTGGTCAGGGCGAAAAATGGCCAGATGAGGTTTTATACGGCCATTTACAAGCCTATGATTTGGCACTGGAGTGAAACAAGCTGTTTTCCCTTTTTGGTGGGTTTATGAATAATTCTATGCTCTGCTCTGATTTTTTTGGTTTACAGCAAAGCACCACGATGGCTCACTAAGAAACATTTCAAAATAGACACAGGCAGGAAAATAAAATGTGTGTAAATAAGTGAGGTCACCATACTATTTAGTTAACTATGCTAGTTACTTGGCGCTTGCTACTAGCTAATGCTACCTACACTAGCTGCAAGTAAATGAAAGTTCTACGAAACTATGAAACTTTCAACTTAAGATGATTTGGCTTCAACCATGAAAAAAGTGGATAAAATCACACAGCATGGCTGCTGCTTAGAGGCAGCTGTTGAGGTGGTGATGCTAATAAAGCTGGAACTGCCCCTCTCTTCAGTCTCTTCAGTGTAAAACGCTGAGTGAAGCTGCTCGATAGTGTCCAAGTTTTGAGAAACTGTGAAGTGAAATGCAAACTAACAATTTTGAATTCAAATTGTTTGGGATTCTATTAAAAGATCTGGCAGCTTAAGTTGGGTTTCTATTCACCAGCGTGTTGTGTTTTGTTCCACCTTAAATGGTGGACGATGGCGATTAGGAAGCCAACTTCAGCCTTGTTTGAAAGTGAATATCAATCATGCCCACTGAAAGTTCAGTTTTTTGGAAAGGGTAATGAAAAGTGCTTACATCCTTTTACAACCTGAAACGGTAGCTACATTTCAGCATACAGTCTGCCATTTTCAGTGCTGTTGCCCTGTTGTTGTTTTGCTCTTTACAATACCTGCTGGGCCAGAAGGTGGGCTGGTGTATGTAAATTTTGGGGGGTATAAATATTAATAAGTCAAGACTATTACACATTTTATAACACTTTTTATTTATGCTTTTTAATGAAAACACTCCAGGAGATAATAAACTTAGAAGTCAGTTTCAGAAAAACAACTCAATGTCCAAACAGACATTGGCATTCTTATGAGAATTTGTTCTGTTGTAACCAGATCTAGCATTCTGTGTGTCTAAAAACCCCTGAAAGAATTTGTATTTAAAAAAATAAAAAAATCATATTTAAAATCATTGCATCCTTCAGTATCTTTGAGTCCACAAACATTTCTTCTGTAATTTACACATTGAAGAGCAGAGCTGAAGCTGTCCAAGATCTCTGAAAGAGCGGTAGCCTACATGTTTCCAGAAATAACCCACGGCCTACATAAATGTACATGTCAGCTTTATTCAAGCCAAATTAATACCAAGTTTAGACATCTGGCCTTGTTAATCATTCGCCACGTTACCCTTTCCTTCGTCTGTACATCAGCTCAACCAAACATTTTTGTCTTTGAAGGTGATCATACAGTTGTACTTTCATATGAAGAAAGCTGCAGTTGTGCTGCTTTATCTCATCATGACTGTCTTCATTCTCACCCCTCCCTGTTCAGCCCTCATTGCTCGCTAACAGCTCAACACAAAATCAGTATATTTCACACACAGAGCCAACAGTGTCTTAGTTAATATTTTGTGATCACAATAATTCAAATTCAATTCAGAAAGTTAATTTCCATCCCACAGGCAAGAATAACCACTAGGAGGGCTTCAGAAAAAGGTTATTTGATGTAAATAGTTTGCTTCTGTCCTGAGTCTGAGACTGCAGGTGATGTTGTATAAGGATGATTGGGCTATAAATACCTTCATAGATTCATAGATTGAGAAGAGGTGGTACAGTGAGATGAATGTCTCGTTCAATGTGTGGAAAATGGGTCACAAAGCAGATGTTGATGAGCAAAAAGGAGTGACTGCATTTGGGCGTGCCAAAGGCCATAGTGTGATGGAAGTAGCTGAATATGCAGGTGTATCGAAGCATACAGTCCTACGAGTCTACCAGGAGTGGCAAAAACCCCAGTCTACAGGAAATTCTCATCAGAATTGTGGCCAAAAGACAGAACCGACGGACCGGGACGTTGGTTTCTTATTTGCAGGCGTTCCATTCTGGCCCCAGTACAGGCATCAGACTGTAACTGCAGCACCATTTAAGGTGGAACAGAAAGTTTGAATGAGAGGCTAAATTCAGCTTTGTGGAATATGTAGGGCTAGGTTTTCAGGTCAGTGAAAGAATTTGAAACTGAATAAGAATGATGCTTCTTAGACTACAAGCAACATTTCCTATGCTTATATAATTTAAGTAAAATACAGGCCAAAGGGCTACCTCATGGGGCACAAATGACCTCTCTTTAATAATGCGCATTTAATGAGAAAAGCATAAGCGACAAACATGTTTCTAAAATTTAGGAACTTATTTAGAGCATTTCTAAAACAAACTATTCTTTTAAGCATTCGAGTCAATGTAACATGTTAGAGATGCCTAGCTGGACCATTCTCCAAATAAACTGGGTTAGCTAATCTTCAAGAGCAGGAAAAAGCAGATACTAGTCCTGCATATGATCCCTTTATCATCGCTACCTTTGCCTCATAGTGGATTTAAACCTTCGTGAATAGGCTAAAAATGGTGTCCTTTAAATCAGTCTGTGGAAATGGGGTAACACAAACCCACTAATGCTGTAATATAAAACTTGGGTGCTGTGATTTAGATTCCTGTCTCCCTAGGAGACGAATGCAGCTTACTACAAAATGTGATTATTTTTATGATACTTCCTCTGATATTGCACAACAAGGAGTTCAGTACGTGATACTGTAGTTACATAATAAGACATCAAATATTGGGAAATATTTGTGAGTACCATATTGTTTACTAAACTGGAATAATCATGGTTTATAATTCAAATAATGATCTAATACATATTTCTTATTCATAAACCAGAGAAGTGATTTGTAAAAGGCTGTTTTTGGAGGTAGTTTTCCCTCCTAATCTGAAGGGTTTTTTTATTCTCCAGAATGTAAAGATGTTTATTTCAATGGCATAAATGACCAAACTCAAAACAAACAAGAATTCTCTCTCTCTCACACACACACACACACACACATGCGCACGTTTGCCACTTTGCTACTCCTGATGGCTTTTTTCTCTTATAAAACATGAGTTACAACAACCACAAAAAAACAAAAACAATTTATAAATAATAAATCTGAACAAAGCTGGTCAGCACACCATATGTACACAGGCATGAACAGAGTCACATTGTGATGCTCAAAGGCCTGATTTACTTGAATAAAACATAAAAGTTGTTGCTTTTGAGTAATAAATAGCAGTTTCACTCACCTGAATAAAAGTGTCTAGAGAAACGAAGCGAGGTCCAGCTTTGGCAATGACCCTACTAAATGCTTAACACAGACAGAAGACAGCTTTGCCAGCTGCTCACATGCGTTAAAGAGCCAAACGGGCAGCCAACCAGAAGCAGACAGACATCGATTCATAACTCATAAAGTATTCCAAGAACGAGAACATTTCTCTGATTACGGTTGTACCAGACCATTCATGCCCTGAAACGATGTGCAGTTCTATGCTCCACAGAAACCTGTGGAAGGAAATTATCAAGTAGTTACTATCAAATTCAGTGCTTCTCACTTTTGAGGTGCTCGTTCATAACTTGTTTCAAATCTATTTTTTTCATATAAGCTAAACCCCTCCAGAGAGACACTGGACAGATTTAGTTCTGGCATAACCATTCATGGAACAAACATTTTAAAATAATTCATGTTTCACAATATTTTGCCTAATTTGGATAACCAAAATGAATCAAGCAGGTGGAAACAAATAATCAGTTTGACACAAATGCATGCGGTTCCACACAGTCATTCCATATACACTTGTCTACATATACACAGATCCAGCATTGATAGGCGGCATGGTCGCTAGCCCGTAGCTAGCCACTCCAGCCATAGAGGCTAATATGCGATTCATTTCCATTGGCCAATAAGCTCTTTAGCTCTGAAAAGGCAGCAGAGAATTCTGACAAAAAATGCTGAAACAAAGGCACCACAAACTCATCTGACTCCATCTGACGTGTTGGAGTGTAAGCTCTCTGCTGCAGGGGTATCTAGACCCAGTCTGGCCAATGCTAACTTTAATGTTTTATGTACTGAAGTTCTGTGCATGGCTGTGGCAGGAGGCTTGCCCTCTGTACTCTCCTCCAAGGAGAGGGAGCAAGAGGGCACAGGGAAATCTGATCTTGGAAAAGGTTCAAGCCTTAGATCGGGCTCAAGAACTGACAAGGGTGGAAAATCTGCATCTGGCAAAGTCATGTAAAAGATATCAAAATCCACCTTAGCCTGCAGTGAAGTTGCCCCTTGTGACCCTGCCGAGGAGGCTTCAATTTCTTTTTCCTCTTTGGCTGCTTATTGCTAAAACTAAGCTCTTCAGCTGGTTAAGTTACGACACAACTGATTCCACATGGTTGGAAAAAGCTCCATAGGCTAGACTCACTAGACTCACTAGCCACTTGTGATGTATGGCCAAAAGGAATCATAGTGCAGTCAACGCACGGATCAGCAAGCTCCTCACACGGGTCATCCAAGCCCAATCACAATGGGCATAGCCAGTATTCATCATCCAGTTCCGGAAGGTTAAGGCACAGCTTAACTGAGAAAGTGTGGCTGTATGTTGGTCAGCGATAGGTCGTGCCCAGCTAAGCATTGTCAGCACCACCGGAGCAAAGTTGATGTAATATGCTATATTCTGGCATGGTGCAAAACACAGTACAGCAGCTCTGGTGAGTAGGATAAGAGTTCGGAGCAAGTGAGGGCTAGCCCAATGACGTCTTCGTAGTGTCAGTGCCTGGCTGGCAGCAAAGTGCGTAGGAGGTAATTCATGCTGGAATTATTACTTAGCAGACTTGAAAAACACACAAGGCAAATTCATACCAAGTTAAAAATCACAGAGCTCATCAGTAGTGACTCAAATTACAGCAGGTCCTCAGGTAAAACTAATCCAGCTTGAATAGGGCTTGTGTGTGTGGAGTGCCAGCAAAATTATTTTTGATCTAAATTCAAATGGGATTGAAAATCGACCACAAATGTTCATAGATGTTAATTTTAAAGAGAACAATGACACGGCAAATAATAACAACTGATGTTAGCTAGTTGGGTTGTGGGTTACTGTCACTACAATTTCTGCAAAGCTAACTAGTTGGGATTAGCTATCACACACATTAACAAAACAGCACAATACAATACAATACCGACCTACTGGTTCTATGAAAATAGCAAAACTCAGTTAAATGTTACCCACCTGTCTTTCAACTGTATGAAGCAGAAGTCAGTTTCTTTTTCACCTGGGACACCAGAATGTAACTGCTGCACCATTTAAGGTGGATCAGAAAAATTCTAACAAAATACTGGTGAATAGGAAGCCAACATCTGCCTCAACAACTCTAGAAGGTCTCTTAACTGTTGAAACACCTCACCAATGTAAACATGGCTCTTTGCCTTTGCCTGGTCTAAGAACTTCTTGCTAAATCTTTGTTCTTCAGATTTTCTCCTCTTTGGCTGTTTCTGATACAGAACTTTTACATTATTTGGGAGGTTCTTAAACCTCTTAGTTTTTAAAAAAAAACAAAAAACTTTGCACTTGGATCTAAGAAGAGTCTTGTGCATGAATACTTAAAGTGCTCACTGTAAATTACTGAAGGCAAAAACACAGTATTAAGTTTGACCTCAAAAACCACGATAGAGATTCACATGGATGTCTTTGTGTTTAGCTGTCTGAAAACACGGCTACCCTGAAGACATACCCCTGAATTTGTCGGCATAATTGAGGACTGTAATTTATCCAACATTAATTTCAAATTTAGCAGAGTCAATATACACAACACAAACCACATGCAAACCTCCAGACAGAAACAAGGCAAATAGATGAGAATAATACACAAACTGTAAACCCAAAACCCTTCGGTAGAAGCTAAACTCTAGGAACACAGGCACTTAAAAGATGTGAACTTCGCAATCAATTCAGAATACGTAAATTAAGTACCTGTATTCAGTCGAAGTTACATTTTGTAAAGGCAGTACTCAAAATATACTTTTCACATTTTAGCATACATACATCATCTAAACCGCTTATCCTTCTGGGTCACGGTGGAGTGCTGGAGCCTATCCCAGCTGTCATTGGGCAGAAGGCAGGATACACCCTGGACAGGTCACCAGTCCATCGCAGGGCAGACAGACAGACATACACAGTCACACACTCACTCATACCTAGGGGCAATTTAGCATGTCCAATCGGCCTGACTGCATGTTTTTGGACTGTGGGAGGAAACCGGAGTACCCAGAGGAAACCCACGCAGACACGGGGAGAACAGGCAAACTCCACACAGAAATGACCCTGGTCACCCTGCCGGGAATTGAACCCAGGCCAGTCTTGCTGTGAGGCGACAGCGCTACCCACTGCGCCACTGCGCCACCGTGCCGCCCATTTTAGCAGAATAGTTTTAAAATACTTATCCACTAAAAACACAGTATTCAGAAGAAACACCATCAGTGCTTGTTTATTAACTATTTTAAAATCAGTACATATGTAGCAAACATGCTTTAGATGAACTCTTAGACCTCAATTAATGCCTTCTTTACAAACACTAAAGTTCCTGCTAAAGCCTGAGTAGACTAATAAATCAATGTGATGATCAGTTATTAACCTCCAGGTTACTGAGCTCTGCTAAAGCCTGAGTGGACTGAGAAAATCAGTGCGATGAGCCACTTATTATCTCAGCATTATGGAGCTCTTTTCAAGGATGATCAAAGTTTGCCTTATCAAGATATTCTAAATGTATTCTGAATGTTACTTTGTGTTGTAATGGAATACATTACTGAATACATATAGGACAGCATATTCAGTCATCACTACTTTTTCAAAGTATTTTGCCCAACCCTTGTCTGAGGTCAACCCATTTCATGTGGCCTGCAGCAAGCCTCCCTGAAGTCTGTGACAGGGGAAAGCTCAGCATGAATGGGCTGCCCGTTAAACCAGCGGTTATTCAGGTTCAACAAAAACTACTTTAAGACTTAAATAACTGCTGCAAAAGACATTCAGAAACTGCAGGTGTTTGGGGTATTTCAGCCAAATGAATTCTGTTCTACTGCTTCAACACCATAAGGCTAAATATAAACATCTGAGCTGGGACCACTTATCGATTTACTGATAAGTATCGCTAATGGCCATGAAATGAATAAGTGGAATTTACGCTTTTGAATACATTTTTCCTTGTTCCTTTATGTATGTGAGATTCATGATGTGGAACTCCAGTCCAAGTTTTACTTCATTTACACACACACACACACACACACACACACATTCTTGTAATTATCTCTTCGGGGGGACACTAGTCAGGGACATGCTATTCGGGGACACCACTTTCCCATGGTCCTACAGACATGAAAAAAATCATGCAAGTATAATTGAAATCAGGAAACACAAAGATCATCTCAGATTTTTGATTTAACCAAGTAAGTTTACCAGTGTGTTATGATCCTGCCAAATGGGGACTTGGGACTAAATTTGCATAACACAGAAATTCGGTGATTACTATAACATAATGGGGACCATACTTGGGACCTAATTTGCATACACACAGAGCAGTTGGTTACAGAACATCAGGGGGACATTTAAAAACATTAAACTCTAATTACAAATGTAACTCAAAATATTTGTAGTTTCTTTAAGTGCATACACAAGACAGCAATCTTGGTGTAACAAATTACTCCTTTTTTATTCCGGTCAAATAATTGTTTTTGTAGTCACAGAACACAATACTAGTCTATAGCACTGTGATAAACTTAAGCAGATAAGCAGTTTTTAGCTTCACTGGACAAAGAACTACTGTATGCCCATATACCCTTCACTTATCAGCTCCACTTACTATATAGGTGCACTCTGTAGTTCTACAGTTACAGACTGTAGTCCATCTGTTTCTCTGATACTTTGTTAGCCCCCTTTTACCCTGTTCTTCAGTGGTCAGGACCCCCATTGACCCTCACAGAGCAGGTACTATTTGGGTGGTGGGTCATTCTCAGCACTGCAGTAACACTGTCGTGGTGGTGGTGTGTTAGTATGTGTTGTGCTGGTACAAGTGGATCGGACACAGCAGTGCACAGCTATAGTCAGAGACGATAGCTCATCTGCTGCTTCACAGTTTGTGTTGGCCATCCTCTAGCCCTTCATCAGTGGTCACAGGAGGCTGTCGGCTGGATATTTTTGTTTGGTGGACTATTCTCAGTCCAGCAGCGACACTGAGGTGTTTAAAAACTCCAGCAGCACTGCTGTGTCTGATCCACTCAGACCAGCACAACACACACTAACACACCACCACCACGTCAGTGTTACTGCAGTGCTGAGAATGATCCACCACCCAAACAGTACCTGCTCTGAGGGTCCATGGGGGTCCTGACCACTGAAGAA